CAGGGATTACGATGTGTTTAACAGGATTCTCTACCTTTTCTAGCCTCCTCACAGAGATTTATGTGGGCTGAGGCTGTAATGTTCACAGAGTTACATGAAAGCCATTGTTCTCCAATTCCTAGAATGTTCTCTCCACATAGCAGTACCTGGATAGATGTTGCGTAACTAACTTGAATGGAGCATTTTCTGAACAATTGTTGACTAACAGCTGAATCAATGCATGGTGTTATAACAGTGTTATTTTCATCATCCCTCTTCATCTTTGTAGTGGCTGTTTACCAGCAGGGAATTGGATGTAGTGTTAAAGTCCCTCCAGTCAGTAATTCCTGGTATGTGTAAGGGCCTTGGTCAGGGAGGTGACCAATAACCTGATGGTCACTCTGACAGAGCTCTAGAGTTCCTCTGTGGAGATGGGAGAACCTTCCAGAAAGACAACCATCTCTGCAGCACTCCACCAATCAAGCCTTTATGGTAGAGTGACCAGACGGAAGCCACTCCTCAGTAAAGGCACATGACAGCCCGCTTGGAGTTTGCCAAAAGGCACCTAAAGACTCAGACCATGAGAAACAAGATTCTCCAGTCTGATGAAACCAAGATTGAACTCTTTGTACTGAATGCCAAGCGTCAAGTCTGGAGGAAACCTGGCACCATCCCTACGGTGAAGCATGGTGGTGGCAGCATCATGCAGTGGGGATGTTTTTCAGCAGCAGGGACTGGGAGACTAGTCAGGATCGAGGCAAAGATGAACAGAGCAAAGTACAGAGAGATCCTTGATGAAAACCTGCTCAGGACCTCAGACTGGGGCGAAGGTTCACCTTCCAACAGAACAACGACCTTAAGCACACAGCCAAGACAACGCAGGAGTGGCTTCGGGACAAGTCTCAAAGTCCTTGAGTGGCCCAGCCAGAGCACGCTCTTGAACCCGATCGAACATCTCTGGAGAGACCTTAAAATAGCTGTGCAGCAATGCTCCCCATCCAACCTGACAGAGCTTGAGAGGATCTGCAGAGAAGAATGGGAGAAACTGCCCAAATACAGGTGTGCCAAGCTTGTAGCATCATACCCAAGAAGACTCAATGCTGTAATCGCTGCCAAAGGTGCTTCAACAAAGTACTGAGTAAAGCGTCTGAATACTTATGTAAATGTGATATTTCAGATTTTTGCATTCTCATTATGGGGTATTGTGTAGAATGATGAGGGGAAAAAAATAAATAAATTTTAGAATAAGGCTGTAACGTAACAAAATGTGGAAAAAGGCCAAGGGGACTGAATACTTTACGAAGGCACTGTAGACTGGATGTGTCTGTGTCCTGCCTAATGTAAGTCCAGTGATTACAATGTTTTTAACAGGATCCACTACATTTCTAGCCTCCTCACAGAGATTTCTAAGGGCTGAGGCTCGTAATGTTTACAGAGTTCCATGAAAGCCATTGTTCTCCAATTCCTAGAATGTTCTCTCCACATAGCAGTACCTGGATAGATGTTGTGTAACTAACTTGAATGGAGCATTTTCTGAACAATTGTTGACTAACAGCTGAATCAATGCATGGTGTTATAACAGTGTTATTATCATCATCCCTCTTCATCTTTGTAGTGGCTGTTTACCAGCAGGGAATTGGATGTAGTGTGAAAGTCCCTCCAGTCAGTAATTCCTGGTATGTGTAAGTGCCCAGACTGGTGTCTGACTGGTGTGTCGAGCCTCCTGAGTGGCGCAGTGGTCTAAGGCTGTGCCACTAGAGATCCTGGTTCGAATCCAGGCTCTGTCGCAGCCGGCCGCGACCGGGAGACTCATGGGCGGCGCACAATTGGCCCAGCGTCGTCCAGGGTAGGGGAGGGAATGGCCGGCAGGGATGTAGCTCAGTTGATAGAGCATGGCGTTTGCAACGCCAGGGTTGTGGGTTCGATTCCCAGGGGGGGCCAGTATAATAAAAAAAAATATAAAAAAAAACCCACATTTATTCACTAACTGTAAGTCGCTCTGGATAAGAGCGTCTGCTAAATGACTAAAATGTAAAATGTAATGGCTGGTTCCTTATCAGGAAGGAGAGGCATGATTTCTCATGCCTCAGCTTTCAAAAGCAGACATCAATAACATGTTTACCAGTACCTCTCTCCAAACATACACGTGACGTGGGTGGATGGGAGACAGGACAGAGAGGTATTTCCACTGGATCAGGAAAAGAGGAACGCTGTTGTGTTTAATTGTAGGGAGGGAGGTAGAGGAATGAGAGCGATACCACCCGTCTTCATGAGTTCTCTTCATCGTTAGCCCATCGGGGGGCAGAGAGGGTTAGATGTGGTGTAGACGGGACAGTCTGTCCTAGCCTCCTGAATACTTCCCCTCTCTCCGGGGTTGGCTTCCAAACATACCTCACCCTGCCTGCTGCCGTTTACACCTGACTCTTACAATGGCACTTTCTCAAATGAAACCCTATTCCCTAGTGCACTACTTCTGTCCAGAGCCCTTTGTGTAAAATAGTTTAAGTTGACAGATCCAAAAGATTGTGATGAATAAAAGTTTTGGTTCAACCCACATGTTTTAGTGAAAGGGACTCCTGAATGAAGCAGTCCAAGGTCCATACTGTTGGAGAATCACTTCAACATGAGGCAGTAGTAGGACTTAATGGACAAAACAGTTGATCATCCACATTCCTACTAAATCCTGGCCTCTCGGTTTCCACCCTCCCTGGACGTGTGTGCAAAGTGTGTGTGAGGAGTTTTGTTTCCAACCTGCCTGAGAAAGAGGATTAAGTTCTTGACCAACCTGGTCTCAGAGCATTTCGTATTATTCGGTACATAAAACCAAGACACTCCATTTTGTATGATATGTTACATTTCGTATGGTATGTATTAATTTGTGGATGGCCACGATTTACAATTCTTATGATGTTACGAATTGCAATTTGCTGAATGTCGGCAAGTTTTATCTAGCTTCATTCTTCTCCCACTTCCCGCCACTGGACTTCCTCTCCTCACTATATTTGGTGGTGAGTGTAAGTTCTAAACAGATGCTTCAGATTTATACATCCTGTGAGACATCTTGCGCCCACCTGTGGGTAAATGTTGTATTTTGCCTCCTACGGTATTAGTCTTGATATTCCATCTAGATACTGACATCTAGTGGTGCTATCTGTAACTACATGTTGGTTATTTGAACTGAATCATGAGTTAACAGACTGAAGAATAAACTACCACAGTCACAGGTTTACTTTTTAACAGCATATTATTTTATTAGTTTCTTTAACCAAACCAAGAATGTAAATAAGACCGTACATATTTTAATACAGCGATGTACCCCCTGTACAAGTAAAACAAAAAAACAAAACTAATTATCATCATGATCACACCCTCCACCACTCCCTCCTACACAATTCTCATCCCCTGTTCTGGTTAGAGGGGGGTGGACTGGGGCAACTGGCTCCCTATCCCCCTAACCACTAGGGGAGCATACTACTGTACATTTCTGAAGGACCCTTGTCACCATGGTAAACCCGAGATGAGTGAGCGGTGTAGGCTTGAGTGAGACTGAGTGAGCGGGGGTTAGCTGGAGAAACGGGAAAAGACAGGGCCGATCTCTCCTCTCAACACTAACACCTGTCCTACTGCCCCAGAACACAGTAGAACTACAGTCTACAGTACAACTCGAGGCTTTTTTCTCATTTTGTATTCTTTCTCCCCCTTTCTGTCAGTCTCTTTTCCTCTTGGTGAGGGTTCACAGAATGCCACACTGAACTATTTTCTGTTTCTACAGTTTTAAAAAGTAACCCCCCCCCCACTCTCTAGCCCTCTCCTGCTGTGTGTGTGTCCGGGCTAAGGGCACCAGAACTCATTCACTCTCTCTGTCAGTCAGTAGCAGCAGGGTTGGGTGCCCTACAGTAAAGTGTGTGTGCGAGAGACACCGTGAGGATGGGTGTGTGAGCGGTGGTGGAGGGGTGTATTATAGGTGTACTCTATTCTCCTCTTGAGGGATGCAGGGGGAGGAAGGAAGAGGGGAGTGTGTGAGACTTATCCCTAGACTGGATTCAGGGTGTCTGTAGTAACCGTTTACCGACAACCCATAATAACTCCCCTTCCACTCTGCTGCCATAGCAACAGGGATTTCCAAAGGCTCTGTGATATATTTGCGCTGCTCAACCTTTGGCTAAAGATACAGGAGAGAACCGGGCAATAGCCTCCCCATGTGTGCAACACACAAAACACAAACACACACACCACCATGTCAGGCAAAGAAATGAGAGCAGAAAGCAGGAGGGAAGGCAGACTTATCAATAAATCAATCGATCAAGCAATCAACTGCTGTATCTTACCTTTTTTCTCTAGGAAAACAAACAAAAAACTGAATTACTTACTTCATAGTTTTTCTTTAAGTAATATTGGTGAAACCGTTGAGCATTAGGGGGAGTGTGTGGTGATCATGCAGAGACACACTCACATAGCTCTGTGTTAGTAGTGATGGGAGGACAGACAGACGAATAGAACGTGTCTGTGCTTCACTAAAAGACATCGCTTTAAATAAGATTGATTGTTCAACTACAAAAACAAAAGATTGATACATTCTTTTGTTAACAAAAAGAACAGCCCTGTCTTCATGTGATTCAACTGAGAAAAGGAAAGGAACATAAATCATAGAGCTATAAAAATTTCAAAATCAGCAGCGAATCTCATATCTTTTCTTTTTTCTCTCCCTCTTTCTCTACCATCGTGGTAGACATTTCATGTACAGCTTTCATCGCTGTCTTACGCCGAAATCACACACAGACCCCCAATAGCGGAGGACAGGAGAGAAGGAGATGGGGAGAGAGGTGGGAGGAGGGTGGGAGGTTGGAGCACACACAGTAGCCCTCTCATTCAGACTTATACACCCCCACATCTCCTCCCTTTCTCTCCCTCCCCCTCTCCAACAACAGCAAGGGTGATGTGTGAGAGCGAGTGATTGTGTAAATGAGTGGAGCAGCTGAATTATTTATCCTCCTCTCCTTCTGTGGAGAATGTGTAAGGCTCTACTTCCCCTCCTCCGGTTTGATGGCCTGGGGCTTGATTGGGCCGGTCCGGATGGGCTTGCCCACCGACAGGGAGGGTTTGTCGGGCTCAGGGCGCTCCACGACTCCTACGGTCTGGTGGTTGGGGGGCAGGATGTCGAGGGGGAGTTTGTCGCCTCCCTGGTCGAGACGAGAGGGTTTGGAGACTGATGGAGCCTTGAGCTGCTGCTCTGAGAAGAATTTATGAGTTGACTGGAGAACCTCGGCTCGCTGCTTCGCCTGCGGAACCGACAGGAGATCAACCAGTTAATACAGCTATCAAATCAATCAATTAATCACGTCGTACTGCTGGGTTCATTTAGGATACATCAGATTTTTCACCACCAGGCACATTCTAGTTCAACCAGTCAACTAATCAGCAAGCAGGACTAGAGCAAAAATGTGTAACATTGGGGGTACTCAAGGGCCAAAGTTGAGAAACACTCCTGTACAGAGATCACCACACATGTACAGAGCTCACCAAAGACATGTACACTACAGTACCCATAACCCTTCAGTGCTATACTATACCTTGAGGTCCTGCTCTGCCTGGCTGCCTCTGGGACCTGGTGGGCCTCGAGGTGCGAGAGGGGGAGGAGGTCCTCTGGGGGGGTGGGAGAGGTGCTGCTGGGGGAACTGCTGCTGCTGCGGTAGCGGCCGGGGGTGAGGCATCAGACCCCCTCCCAGGGAGGGAGACATGGGGGGTGGGCCCATAGGCGAACGCTGCATCCCTCCACCAAATGAGTTAGCATGTTGGGTGTGGGGGGGAGGGCGCACCAGAGGAGAGACCATGTTGGGCTGAGACAGAATCTGAAAGGAGGGAGAGAAGGAGAAAGGTTTTATTTTATTTTTATAAAAAGGGTTAGTGTTAGGCTCTGGCCTATCCCTCTTCAGTGTGTATTACCTGTGGGTTGAACTGTCCAGGGAAGTGCTGTGTGATCCTCATGGCAGCAGAGCTGGGCTGGAACTGTTTCTGGTACAGCATGCTGTTCATCTTACTGGACTGGCTGCTGGGAGACGTAGAGCTGGCCCTGACCAGACACAACAATACATCAGCTCTTGGCACACTAATAAACAGGTAGAAGGTGTGCGTGTTACCAGTAAGGACTAGAGGTGAGTGTGTGTGTGAGAGTGTTACCTGTAAGGACTAGATGTAGGGGTAGTGCTCCTAGCGCTGTGAGGAGGAGTTCCAGGCTTCATGTCCATCCCACTGCCAAACAGCTTCAGGTCCATCTCACACATCTGGACATGAAACAGACAGGGCAGAGACGCATTAGATCATGTGCTGCTAGCATCTCACCAACACAACGCTCACACACACAGCTACAATATCATAAGGCTTCGAGACATACAAACAAGTGTCTCTCTCTCACATACGCAGAGCTTTATATTCGTTCCCTGGTGCGTACCTTGCTGGAGGGGGGCTGCATCATGCTGTGTGTAGGTCCGAAGGGTCCCCTGTAGGGCTGGGATACAGGGGGCTGGCGGCTGGGGGGCTGAGCCTGGGGAGGGGTGGGTGGCAGCGCCAGGAGGGGTTGGCCGCCCCCAGAACCATAGTTAGGAAGACCTAGCTGGGAGCCCGGCAGAGGGACTTGCACCTAGAGAGGACAGGGCGAGAGAGAGAGAGGTGAGTTAGTTTCAATGTCATGATTGTCTGTTTTGACATTCATCTGTTTGAAAACGTGTAAATAATGTGTATACCTGCTGCATGGCAGAGCTAGGAGACTGTGTGTTACTATAGTAACTGCTCTGTCCGTGTTGCTGCACCTGCCCCGAGTACAGGTTAGAATGCTGACTCATCCCCTGACGCTGGAGAGGGAGAGGGGGGGGGGGGGGGGGGGGGGGGGGGGGGGGGGGGGGTGTTAAGACAATATTCCTTACAAAGCTCTTGTATAACCACATAGAAGCTCAAGCATTTACCAAGATAACATGAGTTCTCCCACTCAACAGTTGTGAATACATTATAAGAACGTTGTTACTACATTGTGCGTACCTTATCCCATACCTGCAGTAGGTGTGTGTCTATCAGCTGGGATCCTCCCATGCCAGAGGGCTGGTTGAGCTGCGGTTCAAACAGGATGGGGATGTGTGTGTTGGAGGGCTGCTGGTAGGCCAGGCTGGACTGAGGCTTGCCCAGATCAGGGCCCCCAACCCCTGGGTAGCTGTGGAGAGACGGCCCTGATAACATCATGGGGCTGGGCTGGGACAGGCTGCTCTGCATAAAGGCCTGCTGAGACCTGCAGGACAGAGGAGGAGAGAGTTCAAATAGTGTGTGATCAAACACACACACACACACACACACACACACACCTCTTACCGGTCAGAGTGACTACACTTCACCCAAACAGCATTGTTTGATAAATACACAAACAGCAACATATCCTGCCACATATCAGTGTATGTGTGTGTGTGTGTGTTACTATCATAGTGTGTGTGTTACCTGTAAGGCTGAATTGAGGAGCTGAAGAGGTCCTGTGGCTGGGAGACGGGAGGTCCAGTGCTGAGGCCTAGCTGGGCCTGGTGAGAGTGTGTGTGTTGGTGTGTGTGTTGGTGCTGGCCCTGCAGGGGAGCATAGATGGGGATTGGAATCTGCTGCACCGCTGCCTGCTGGAGGGGAGAAAATAAGGCCTTATAAGGCTTCACAAGGGAAGAATAAGGTTTTATAAGGGGAGAATAAGGCTACATAAGGACAGTTTAAGCTTTAAGACTAGTTAAAGAGATCCTTGTAGTGTGTACCTGTGAGAGTCTAGGCTGGTAGCCCTGCTGCTGTGCCAGAGAGGGAGGTGCCAGGCGGGGGTTGCTGAACAGGTGACTGGTGTCCATGTAGAATGCTGGAATCTGGGCTGCAGAACCCACAGACAGACAGAGAGAGAGCGACAGAGACACAGAGAGAGTGAGAGACACAGAGAGAGAGAGAGAGACACAGAGAGAGAGACAGAGACAGAGACAGAGACAGAGACAGAGACAGAGACAGAGAGAGAGAGAGAGAGAGAGAGTGAGAGAGAGGCAGGCAGGCAGGCAGACCGAGAGAGGCAGGCAGGCAGACCGAGAGAGGCAGGCAGGCAGACCGACAGACCGACAGACCGAGAGAGGCAGGCAGGCAGACCGACAGACCGAGAGAGGCAGGCAGACAGACAGACCGAGAGAGGCAGGCAGACAGACAGACAGACCGAGAGAGAGAGAGGCAGACAGACAGACAGACAGAGAGAGAGGCAGGCAGACAGACAGACAGACAGAGGCAGACAGACAGACCGAGAGAGAGGCAGACAGACAGGCAGACAGACCGAGAGAGAGGCATACAGACAGACCGAGAGAGAGGCAGACAGACAGACAGACCGAGAGAGAGAGGCAGACAGACAGACAGACCGAGAGAGGCAGGCAGACAGACAGACAGACCGAGAGAGGCAGGCAGGCAGACCGAGAGAGGCAGGCAGGCAGACCGAGAGAGGCAGGCAGGCAGGCAGACAGACAGACCGAGAGAGGCAGGCAGACAGACCGACAGACAGACCGAGAGAGAGAGGCAGACAGACAGACCGAGAGAGAGGCAGACAGACAGACAGACCGAGAGAGAGAGGCAGACAGACAGACCGAGAGAGAGGCAGACAGACAGACCGAGAGAGAGGCAGACAGACAGACCGAGAGAGAGAGGCAGACAGACAGACCGAGAGAGGCAGAGACAGAGAGAGAGACAGAAAGAGAGACAGACAGTCAGAGAGACAGATAATAGAATCAGGGAAACAGAAAGAGAGAAAAAGGGATCAAAACTCCTAAATTCACAAACTCACCACAATCCTGACAAACGCATGTCTATTGTGTGTCCTGACAACACTTTAATCACTAGCATCACCTTCAGTAATATCACAGCTGTCTCCATCTCAGATCACATAAGGATTGTCAATGCATTGACCTTTCCCTCTCTAAATGCGTGTCCTCTATGAGCCGTGATGGCTGTTCCTGTGGGCTCAGCTCTCTCTGATAGAGGCTAATAGCTGACCTCCCTATGGGGCCAACTGTACTCAGCTCTATAGCTAGCATGCCAATGGGAGGCTCACTCAGCAGTCACTGATACGAGACAAGAGAGAGGAGCACAACACTAAATAGCTGTCTCATCATAAAAGCTTATAAGCCTCCATACCCATTGAACAGAACTGTTTTCATTCAAGTTTAGTAGTATCTGCTAGTCTAAGTAACTAACTAGGGACACTTTTTTTCCTGGTGAGGTAACGTAGTTAGGGAAAAACCTCTAAGTGCATACAAGCGTCAGATGCGTTGGAGGTCTCACCTGCTGCAGACTGGGAGACGTAGACCTGTGGAGTCTGTTGCTGCTGGGGTAGCAAGGGGGCCACACAGCCCAGCTGGGAGAAGCTGGTCCCAGCCATGGATCCTGTCTGCAGCTGCTGGGGTTTCACCATGCAGATGTTGGGGGGGTCAGAGGCCGTGGTGGTCTTAGTGCTCAGAGAGGACGTGGTGTAGGTCCCAGCACCTAGGGAGGGGGAATATGTCACTACACCCAGTTTATGTTGCAGTTTATGTGGGTGATGTTGCCCAACAATCCATATATTAGACGGGTAACAAATATTAGTGTAAAAGCATTGTATAACAAGTATTAATCGGACGTACAAAGAAATACAGTACCTGTCAGAGAGGTGCTTGGTGTAACAGAGGCCACTGGTATCTGAGGCATGGAGGCAGAGGAGAAGGAGGAGTAGGAAGAGGAGGTGCAGGAGGTGATGGGAGAAGAGGTGACAGGAGAGCTCTTCTCTACCAGGCTGGGGGAGTTCTCCCACGCTTTACGAGCTGACTCCATCTAAACAGAGAGAAGAAAGGTCAAATAAATGAATTAGAAGTTGGACAGTCAAATGCATAGGGTGTACTGCATGTGTGTTACCTTCAGTGTGAGGTCTACAGTAGTGGTGTGTATACAGTAGCTGTGTGTGTGTGGTGTGTGTGTGTACCTCAATGTTTCCTCTGTTTTCCATGACTGAAACATAAGTCGATCTCAGATCAGCGGGCCACATCAGGATTTTGAAATTCAATGGAGGGCCGCACAGATTTTATGACCGATTTGTCAAAAATTTGAGGGCTAGAAAAAGGGCAGTTATTTGGAAATATATAGGTCCATTATAATTTCTACATACTTTCTATCTAGTTTTAGAAGTTCATAGTGTGGCCTGGAATGTTTTTTTAATACACAAAATAAAAAAAAATCCCAATTTACTCAAACCTCATGTGTCATCCATGACGGAACTCCGTCGCAGTGACGGAGAACTTTAACCCCTGCCATCTGAATGTGCGCCACTGCGCTGTAGGGAGATGATGGGGAGAAAGTGGTGGCCGTGTGCTCATTCGCGCGCCACTGCTTACTCTGTTTGATACTAATGCACGTGGTAAGTCAGGGATTCGCAAACCTTTTTGCCCCGTGACCCCATTTATTTATTTATATATATATATACACACACTTTTTTTATCACGACCCCACCATGTAAAAAAAAGTGATGTCAATCAACAGCCAATGTTAACTTTCTTATTTGCGGCTATGACAGTCTATTACAAAATCAGTCTGACCGTACTTCAATCTGAAGCGAGTATGGTTTGAAGTGAGTGAAACTGCAACAGAACGGTATTGGGAAGTTCAGGCAATAATTGTGTATGATGTTCTTTTTCCCCTAGTCTGATTTGGTGATGGGTCCTGTCCACTCTGTTCTAACGAGTTCTGCTTGTGAGCATTGCTCTGTTTGTCACAACCACATTTATGAGACAGAGCATATAAACACCACTAGTCCCAATAGGAGACCAAGCAAATACACAACACAAGCTCATGTAGAAGATATCGGAGTTTACGCACTTATTATTATTATTATAAGCGCGGTTCTATGAACCAAGCGGCATTTATTTTATTTTTCTCTCACGACCCTATTTTCAAATCACGTCGAGACCCCTAGTTTGGGAAACGCTGTTGTAACTTGTCACTGATCTGAAAATTGCGTCTTAGCAGAAATATTTTGATTATGTACAGATTGTTGGACTTATATGAACACGCTGTCATGCATCACTGCAACGAGCCATCACATGAATGAAAAGTGGGACATGAAGTCCCATGTAATGACAACTGAGGACATGGAGGAGAGGCACACAGAGAACCTAAAACGGCATTAATACCGTCGTTGCTGAGTGGGTGGGGGACAGCAGTAAGGTGAGCGCTGTCTGGTAGGTTGCCAGGACAGCAGTAGACTGAGCTGCATTGCCCCATAGCGGTCATATGCAGGAGCATATCTGAATTGTGAATCATGTCATTTTATGATTTTCTTTAAACAATAAAAAAATAGCAGTTTAAACGTTAAGATTTTTTTTTGCATTTGTCACATCCCTAGTAACTAGGCCTAGGACCCCTAGACAAAGTGAGTGCAACAATATCCGTAGGCTAGTTATGGATTTTGTAACATTACCTTCAGTGTGAGGTCAACACTAGCAGGAGAGACAGTACTGAGGCTGGAGCTCTGCTGTAGGGCCTCTCTACGAGGGAGAGAGTGGGGCAGGGGCACATTGGCTACCAGCCTCTCCTCCATCTTACTCCCTCCAGTAGGAACGCTGTCAGCCAGAGAGGACGAGGGGGTGGTGTAGTCAGTCACTGACTCCTGATGGGGGGTGAAACAAAATGATGTCAATATAATCGTAATGAATGGAACACAGGTAACTGTCAAAATAATGGAAACACTAAATTAAATTAGGGATACAAAGTATATTGAAAGCAGGTGCTTCAACACAGGTGTGGTTCCTGAGTTAAGCAATCAACATCCCATCATGTATACAGTCCTTTCAGAAAGTATTCAGACCCCTTGACTTTTTCCACATTGTTAAGTTACAGCCTTGTTCTAAAATTGATAACATTGTTATATTTTTGTCATCAATCTACACACAATACTCCATAACGACAAAGCAAAAATTGGTTTTTAGAAATTTTTGCAAATGTATGAAAAATTAAGAACTGAAATATTACATTTACATAAGTCTTCAGACCCTTTACTCAGTACTTTGTTGAAGCACCTTTGGCAGCGATTACAGCCTCGAGTCTCCTTGGGTATGATGCTACAAGCTTAGCGCACCTGTATTTGGGGAGTTTCTCCCATTCTTCTCTGCAGATCCTCTCAAGCTCTGTCTGGTTAGATGGGGAGCGTCGCTGCACAGCTATTTTCAGGTCCCTCCAAAGATGCTAGATCGGGTTCAAGTCCGGGCTCAGGCTGGGCCACTCAAGGACATTCAGACACTTGTCCCAAAGCCACTCCTGCGTTGTCTTGGCTGTGTGCTTAGGGTCGTTGTCCTGTTGGAAGGTGACCCTTCACCCCAGTCTGAGGTCCTGAGCGCTCTGGAGCAGGTTTTCATCAAGGAACTCTGTACTTTGCTCCGTTCATCTTTCCCTTGATCCTGACTAGTCTCCCAGTCCCTGCCGCTGAAAAACATCACCACAGCATGATGCTGCCACCACTATGCTTCACCGTTGGGATGGTGCCAGGTTTCCTCCAGATGTGACACTTGGCATTCAGGCCAAAGAGTTCAATCTTGGTTTCATCAGACCAGAGAACCTTGTTTCTCATGGTCTGAGAGTCTGTAGGTGTCTTTAGGCAAACTACAAGCAGGCTGTCATGTGCCTTTTACTGTGGCTTCCGTCTGGCCACTCTACCATAAAGGCCTGATTGGTGCAGTGCTGCAGATGTTGTCCTTCTGGAAGGTTCTCCCATCTTCACAGAGGAACTCTGGAGCTCTGTCAGAGGTACCATCGGGTTCTTGGTCACCTCTCTGACCAAGGCCCTTCTCCCACGATTGCTCAGTTTGACCGGGTGGCCAGCTCTAGGAAGAGTCTTGGTGGTTCCAAACTTCTTCCATTTAAGAATGATTTAGGCCACTGTGTTCTTGGGGACCTACAATGCTGCAGAATTTTTGTGGTATCCTTCCCCCAGATCTGTGCCTCTACACAATCCTGTCTCGGAGCTCTACGGACAATTTCTTCGACCTCATGGCTTGGTTTTTGCTCTGACTTGCACTGTCAACTGTGGGACCTTATATAGACAGGTGTGTGCCTTTCCAAATCATGTCCAATCAATTGAATTTACCACAGGTGGACTCCAATCAAGTTGTAGAGACATCAAGAATGACCAATGGAAACAGGGTGCACCTGAGCTCAATTTCGAGATTCATAGCATAGGGTCTGAATACTTATGTAAATAAGGTATCTGTTTTTTGTTTTTTCTAAATGTGCAGAAAAATTATAAAAACCTGTTTTCACTTTGTCATTATGGGGTATTGTGTGTAGATTGATGAGGACAATTTCTTATTTAATCCAGTTTAGAATAAGGCTGTAACGTAACAAAATGTGGAAAAAGTCAAGGGGTCTGAACACTGTACAAATGCTTGGCAGGCCATTATTTTGGCTACTGTGATTATGCCTCCATAGGATGACAACACCCCCATCCAAAGGGTACGAGTGGTCACAATGGTATGATAAACATGAAAACGAAGTAAACCATATACCTCAGTCACCAGAGCCCAACCCAATTGAACACTTATGGGAGATTCTGGAGCGGTGCCTGAGACAGCGTTTTCCACCACCATCAACAAAACACCAAATGATGGAATTTCTCGTGGAAGATTGGCGTTGAATCCCTCCAATAGAGTTCCAGACACTTGTAGAATCTATGCCAAGGTGCATTGAAGCTATTCTGGCCCAACGCCCTTTTAAGACACTTAATGTTGGGGTTTCCTTTATTTTGGCAGTTACCTGTACATTCCTATTTAAAGCAGGGTTCTGAGGTGGATAGACTGGTGGCCATATCGGGTATACCATTTCAACCAACCCCATCCCCTCTCACCTTGGAACTGCTGGCGTACTCTGCAGAGGGTATGGTGATCATCCCCTCAATGTCGCCCCCCAGCTCAGGAACAGAGGTGTCTGTGTTGGTGGGGCTTGAGTCTACTGCTCTGCTGGACCCTCCTGGTACTATCCCCCCATCCAGACCCTCTCCCTCCCCCCCGCAGACGTCCTTAGCCTTGCGGTTACGGAGGGAGCGTTCTTTACCGATAGGGCCAGGCTTGTACTCCTTAGGCTCTACTGGCTCCATGTCAGGGAGCTGGGGAGGGAGAGGGAAAGAGAGCGATAAAGTTAGAGTAAAAAAAAAAAACTATGAAGAATCATAACGTATCAATCACTATCGATTTTCTGAGTATTTCAGTCAGTCAGTCAGTCAGTGTTGTACCCTACCTTCTGTGTTTTGATGGGCCCGGCACGGGGCTGTTTCTGTCTCTGTTCTTTCGGAGCAGGTAGTTTGTCGTCAGATCCAGTCTCTAGAATGGCTGGTACACCATCGCTGTCTGTACTGCCAGATGAGGACGGGGCTCCAAACTGGATACTGTCCATCCCCAGATCCACACTGCCTTCTGAGCCAGGATTTAGTCCCTTCAACACACAATACTTTTTTTAGAGCCACAATGAAACAGAACAGACCCATAGCTGGTCAGTCTGTTGTACAAAACAGGTTGTGAAACACTGTGCAAGATGGCTACTAGGCAGAGAAAGAGGGAGGTTTGTACCTCAGGAATGAGGGCCCCAGTGAAGGAGGTGAGAGGTTTGTTCCAGGCACTGACTGAAGGAGGCTGAGGAGGGCTGATAGGTCCAACTGAAACACACACAACATATTATGACAAGTTTAAACGTTTTCACTAATAAAATGTAAATCTCTGGTGAAATATGACTGTGTCCTGCGGTTGTGTGACTCACGTTTCTTGACGTCGGGGAGGATGGTGGATCCGGCCACCTTGTTCTCCCAGAGTTCCGTACCCAGAGTGCTGTGGGGCTGCGTGGCTGGGGCCACAGGGGGCAGGGAGATCTTAGAGGTGAAGTCCACAGTGGTGGGGGTCGGGGCAGAGGGTAGGTGGGCCAAAGAGCCCTCCAGAGTCTGGGGAGAGGCAGCAGGCTGGGAGGGGGGAGGGAGCTGGGGGGCAGAGAGATGGGGCTGGGGTTTTTGGGGGGGAGGTGGGGGCTGTGGCTGTGAGGCTTGCTGTTGTTGTTGCGATGCTTGTTGTTGCTGCTGCTGTTTTTTGGCAAATCTGGGAGGCAGCTTGCCTCCTCCTCCTCTCCCCTTCTCCCCTGGTCCTTTCTTCCCATAGTGCTGTAAACGGACACACAATGCAACAACATACAGGTTAGGGATGTCAGATGTTATGGTCCTCAATTTGAATATGAGTCTTGTGTCAATGTGTCCCTAGTCAATACAGGAGTAATTGCCTTCCAGTGGTGAAGTGCACACTCCCTCTCTCCCGCATCCCTCCTCCCTCTCACCTGTGTAGTCTGTTCTTCTTTCTTTCTCCTCTCCTCGTCCTGTAGTCGTTTCTGTTGTTTGCGTGAGACCACCTCAGTGAAGCCGTCGTCTGCAGTGTTAGACTGGGGGTCCTCTAAGGTCGTCACCTCTGGATGGTCATCTATGATCACCACACCTATAGGACAGCACACAGGAAGTGACATCACATCAGTTCCACAGACATGGTATAAGTTCTAGAACAATAGAATCTGTATTGGGCCAATATGACATTACAGTACTCGTGGCATTTTGGGAAAAATATAAATTTCAAGATGGACACTAGATAGCCTCAATGGGTATGAGCAGGTGTGTATGTGACTCACTGGCGTAGTTGTTGAGGTCAAACTGCAACAAAGCATTCTCCTTCTCCTTGGGTTTCTGTTTGGTCTGTTTGGCCTCGTCCTTCCTGCGTCCAGATGGATCTTTACCCCCGGGGCGCACTGCTCCCCCACCTGGGGCTGAGTCTGGGTTAGGGGCAGCTCTGGAGGAGAGGAGAGAAATAAATATTAGAGACACACAAGGCCACTGTACAGAGAAGCAGCAGCTTCATAAAAAAGGTGGTCTAAAGACTGTGGGATCTTCAGTGGTTTCAGTCCAGGATATAGTAATGTAATGGAGGACATTGCTTTCACATCAGTACAGGTGAAGGAGAGGAGACGAGACGAGGAAAGAAAACCACTTTAGACTATTGGGATGCAACCAGAAAGGGAGCAATGATGAGTACCCAGTGTATTCTCCTCCAGAGGCCACAGTAGAGAAGTAGCAGACAAAAAATACACCCTGACTCGCTTTATACAGTGGGGAAAAAAAGTATTTAGTCAGCCACCAATTGTGCAAGTTCTCCCACTTAAAAAGATGAGAGAGGCCTGTAATTTTCATCATAGGTACACGTCAACTATGACAGACAAAATGAGAAAAGAAATCTAGAAAATCACATTGTAGGATTTTTAATGAATTTATTTGCAAATTATGGTGGAAAATAAGTATTTGGTCAATAAAAGTTTCTCAATACTTTGTTATATACCCTTTGTTGGCAATGACACAGGTCAAACGTTTTCTGTAAGTCTTCACAAGGTTTTCACACACTGTTGCTGGTATTTTGGCCCATTCCTCCATGCAGATCTCCTCTAGAGCAGTGATGTTTTGGGGCTCTCGCTGGGCAACACGGACTTTCAACTCCCTCCAAAGATTTTCTACGGGGTTGAGATCTGGAGACTGGCTAGGCCACTCCAGGACCATGAAATGCTTCTTACGAAGCCACACCTTCGTTGCCCGGGCGGTGTGTTTGGGATCCTTGTCATGCTGAAAGACCCAGCCACGTTTCATCTTCAATGCCCTTGCTGATGGAAGGTGGTTTTCACTCAAAATCTCACGATACATGGCCCCATTCATTCTTTCCTTTACACGGATCAGTCGTCCTGGTCCCTTTGCAGAAAAACAGCCCCAAAGCATGATGTTTCCACCCCCATGCTTCACAGTAGGTATGGTGTTCTTTGGATGCAACTCAGCATTCTTTGTCCTCCAAACACCACGAGTTGAGTTTTTACCAAAAAGTTATATTTTGGTTTCATCTGCCCATATGACATTCTCCCAATCCTCTTCTGGATCATCCAAATGCACTCTAGCAAACTTCAGACGGGCCTGGACATGTACTGGCTGAAGCAGGGGGACACGTCTGGCACTGCAGGATTTGAGTCCCTGGCGGCGTAGTGTGTTACTGATGGTAGGCTTTGTTACTTTGGTCCCAGCTCTCTGCAGGTCATTCACTAGGTCCCCCCGTGTGGTTCTGGGATTTTTGCTCACCGTTCTTGTGATCATTTTGACCCCACGGGGTGAGATCTTGCGTGGAGCCCCAGATCGAGGGAGATTATCAGTGGTCTTGTATGTCTTCCATTTCCTAATAATTGCTCCCACAGTTGATTTCTTCAAACCAAGCTGCTTACCTATTGCAGATTCAGTCTTCCCAGCCTGGTGCAGGTCTACAATTTTGTTTCTGGTGTCCTTTGACAGCTCTTTGGTCTTGGCCATAGTGAAGTTTGGAGTGTGACTGTTTGAGGTTGTGGACAGGTGTCTTTTATACTGATAACAAGTTCAAACAGGTGCCATTAATACAGGTAACGAGTGGAGGACAGAGGAGCCTCTTAAAGAAGAAGTTACAGGTCTGTGAGAGCCAGACATCTTGCTTGTTTGTAGGTGACCAAATACTTATTTTCCACCATAATTTGCAAATAAATTCATAAAAAATCCTACAATGTGATTTTCTGGATTTTTTTTCTCAACTTGTATGTCATAGTTGACGTGTACCTATGATGAAAATTACAGGCCTCTCTCATCTTTTTAAGTGGGAGAACTTGCACAATTGGTGGCTGACTAAATACTTTTTTCCCCCACTGTATATATAACTTCAAACCAAAACACACAGCCAGCAATTAAAACAGGATACGAAAGGAGATTAAACATTTGTCCTTCAGGAAGATTGTGTTTCCACAGCTCTCTCGCTTTCACAATCTCTCGCTCCCTCACACACACAAACAGTGGAGCATGGCATTGGAGTTAGGTTTTATAATATGGGTTGTATAATACGATATTGTTCATTATGTTAACTGTGAGTAGATCTAACATGCAAACAGTCAAGGCATAAGGTCAAACCAAATCACTGTGTGTGATTGGTGGATGACTCACCCTCTGCGTCCAGCCTTGCCCCCTCCTCTCCTCTCTCCCTTCCCCCCTGTGTAGCCGCGGCCTGGTTTGGGTCCGCTGTTCCCCCTGCGGTTCTGCCTCTCCACAGGACGCTGACTGGAGAAACTCCTCCTGGCCCAGGCAGGGCCCGCTACCTCGCGTTTGGGCGTCACCCCTCCCTCAGTGGGGGTCCTACTGGGGGGTGCTGAGCCTTGAGGGGGTAGGGGGGCTGGGGCCGAGGGCTGGGCAGCTGCGTTAGCAGCCTCCAGCGCTCCCCTCCTCTCCTCTCTTTCTCTCCGTTCGTTAAAATCACTGCTCTCTGACGCCGTTTCCCACTCCTCGTTGGCCTGGTCAGAAGAGTTCTGATTGGAAAGGTCAGGTGACTTGGTGCCCACGGCAGAGGTCGTGGTAGGGGTGGCGTCAGGCAGGGCTGGATCAGAGGTCAGGGGCAGGTCAGCGGCTGTGGGTCCCCCCTCTACAGGCATGGTGACTGGGGTCCCTGGAGCTCTGGAGAGGGTAGGGGACAGGGAGACAGGGCCAGGCCCAGAGGCACGCACTAAGGCTGGGAGGGAGGCAGTGGAGGTAGGTCCAGGTCCAGTCTCTCCTCCAGCTAATACTGCAGCCTCTCTCTCCTTCAGCCTCCGGAAGCGGGGGGGTTTGTCCTGTCTGGGGGGTCGGGCTGGGCGAGGGCGACGGGGCCTCTCTCTGTCTCTGCTACTCTGGGGTCCCCCCTCCCCAAACTTCTTCACCTCGAAAGGACGGTCTCTGTCCCCTCGTACAGGCCGTCGGTCAGAGTGGGTGTCCCGGTTGTCGTAGCGTGATGAAGGTTCTGTGTCCTCAGGGCGGAAGGTCTCCATAGGTTTAGAGGGCCACAGGGAGGACAACTCTCTGGTTCCTGGTCGTCTGAGAGGAGCTGACCTAGTACCCCCTCTCTCCCTGGCTCCCCCTCGCCTGCTGTACAGGCCCCCTCTCCCCCGCCGTGACGGCTCTCCTTTGGGCAGGAAGCCTGGCTTGGGCCTACCCTCCTCATCTCCTCCCCTGAGCCCTCCTTTCTCCCCCAGGTGAGGGGGTCCAAAGCCAGGTTTGTGTGGTCCGGAGCGGTGCTCTCCTGGTAGTTCCCTGCGGAGCGGGCGGGGTGGTTTGGCGCTGAGCTCACGGTCTGAAGCCCCCGTGTCGCTAGCGGACTCGCGTCCTCCTTCACTCTCCGAGTCGGTATTGGAGCCACGACGCCTCCTGCGTTTGGGCATTACTTCGAAGTCAGAGCTCTCGCTGCGCGTCTCGCTCTCTTCACGGCAGCAGCGGAAGGCAATGCCGCCACCAATGGCGGGGAGGTCTGAGCGTGAGCGCGGCTCCCGGTAAGGGTACTCCCCTCGACTACGACCCCGGCCACCTCTATTTCGACCACTGTAAGTCCCCCGGAAACTCCGTCCTCGAGAGTAGTACTCCCCTCTGCCTCTGGCTCTAAAACCATCAGCCGGCCAGTCTCTCTCTCTGTCCCTCTCCATCTCTCTCTCCCGATCTCTTTCCCTCTCTCGCTCTCTCTCCCGTTCCCTCTCTCTCTCCTCACGGCGGTAGGCCCGTGGAGGCAGGTTGGACTCCTTCCTACAGGATAGTTTAGGTTCAGGGTGTTTGTCATTGGTCGTTGGTTTGTCTGTCTTGTTGTCCTGGGAGGCTGGTGTCGGTGCTCCTGACAGGGCCTGTGTGTCTCTGGATCTCTGGGGGCCATTCACAGACCCCTCCTCGGTCTCAGGGGCCTCCCTCTTCCCATCCCTCTCCCTGTCCTTCTCTCTTTCTCCCTGGGGCCTGTCCCTGGGGCCCCCAGACACAGCAGCAGCCGCAGAGGCAGCTTTCACTCCTCCTCGCTCCTCCTTCTTGGGTCTCTCCCCTCTTTCCCCTCTCTCTCTGTGTCTCTCTCTCTCCTCCCGCTGCTCTCTCTCTTCCTTCATGTCTCGGAGTACAGGTTTCTTAATGGGTCCAGACCTGCGTACAGGCCTCTCTCCCCCTGGCCCGTCCCTCCGGCTGGCCACTGACCTCCCTCCCAAGCGCAGCTCATTCTTCTGCTTGCTAGGGGCTGGCAGGGGCAGCTTCTCTGGCTTGTGGAGGATGTCGGATGGAGGAGTGGGCCTGTTGTTGGCCACAGAAGCCTGGGAGAAAGGCTCTTTCCTGGCCTTCAGTTCGTCTGGGCCTGGCCTCTCCCCTGCATCCTGGAGCTCAAGTGTCTTTGTGCCCAGGGGGAGGCTGTCGAACATGGCCTCATCCAGTTTGAGGGAGTGGCTGGAGCCCTGGGAGATGGTCCTCTGTAGCATGGCCTGTCCCAGAGCCTCAACCTCCACTCCAGTGGGCAAGCCAGGCTCCTCTGGCTCAAAGGGGGACCCACCAGGCCCTCTCTCTGTCTGCAGGGATCCTGTAGCCTCCTCTGGGCCTGGGCCGAACCCTGACAGGGGCTCTGTGGGGTTTCTGAAGAAGTCAGTCTTGCTGCGGGGCTCAAGAGGACTGATTTCCTTGCTGGGGTAAATGGCTGGGGAACCCCGGTCCAGCTCCAACCCAGAGTCCAACCTGGGGAAGAGCGAGAGAGATGTTTTAATAAAAAACGCAGCAAACATGGTGGACAATTGGACCACATTTGATGACAGAAGTGGCTGCCTCTCAATATGCACTGTGGAGGTGAGGAAAGCAGGTGTGTATTGAGATTCAGCCTGATTATTGTGTTGTCCCCTCACCTGGTGTCCTTGTCCTCCCGTCCTTTAGGGGGTGTGGCGGAGGGCAGGGGTTCAGTTTGGGCGTAGGGGTCAGACCCCCACACCGTGCGTGGTTCAGAGGGGAGACTGTGGTCCCGTATAGGCCTGGTCAGGTGGTCAAAGGAGTCAGAACTGGAGCTGGACCTGTCCCCTGGCTCTCTACGAACTATCTGCTTAGGAGCCATCCGCCCTGGAGACAAGGAGAAGGGGACAGCCGGTCAAAATGATTACCTTTTACAGTTTATATACAGTATACGCTATAAAAATGTATGTCTATTTACACCAAAACACTCACAGGGCATCAACACCCACAGAAGAAAAGCTAAGCTAAACTGAAAACACACACACGTATCAGTACGTCAATATCTCCATACCAGGTCCAGGGTGCATGTTTGGCATGTCGAGCGATGGTCTTCCAGACATCATGCGGGGGTCCATGTATGACTGCATCATGAGCCAGCGGGGGTCAAAGCCCATGTTAGCCAGATGCTGCTGATGGTGAGGGGGTCCGATGGGCTGGTACAGGGAGCGGTGCTGCTGCTGGGGGGTAGCTACACTTCCACCTCCTCCTGATGGGGACACAGCCCCACCACCACCACCGCCACCGCCTCCACCGCCTCCACCACCACCCTGCTGCTGTTGCTGCTGCCACTGCTGCTGCTTCATCTGCTCCTGCAAGGAGAAAGAGAGGTTAAGAGTTGGATTCAGGGCATTCCTCTTCAAAATGACATGGACAACATTAAAAGTTCAGGATTCCATAGTCCAGAGATGGAATTTAACTTATTTGGTAACTTGACTTTTCCCAAGAGGAACTTTGGATGTGACATTGTGTATAAAAACACAGAGCAACACCAGTCCAATACCTGCTGCCTGAGGAAGCGTGGGGGCAGAGACTTCTGGAACTGTTTGGAGTATCCCGAGGTGAGAGAGGGGCGCATGGCAGCCCCCGCCTCTCCCTCCAGGTCTGGGGGGGCCACCGGGGCATCCTCTCCAATGGGAGGGTCCATACAGGGCAGAGACAGGGGCACATGCTCCTCCACTAGAGAGCAAGACAGTAGTCAGTCACACTGTAAACCTAAACCTCGTCATTGAAATAAACAGAAAGATTGGCTTTGCTGGGAGTGAAACTGTGGGAGGTAAAGTAACTGGTTAATTTATGTTGGTGCAAACACAGGGCTCTGCCAGAGGGCTCACCTCTACTCTCATCGGCGCTGAAGTATTCTCGGATAGGCATGGGAATCAGTCTCTCAGTCTGGCTCTCATCCACCAGGGGGCCCACCTCAACCAGGGGGCCCTCTCCGAGCTGAGGCTCTGGGGTTATGGACACTGGTCTCTGGACTGGAGGGCTGTGCTGGCGAGGCACAAACTGACTCTCCTCCGCACTAGGCTCTACTCTCTCCATCTCTCTTTCCACCCTCTCGTTCTCGCTCTCCATCCTTTCCCTCTCTCTTTCCATCCTCTCTCTGTCTTGGAGAGGGGCTGGTATGGTCGGGGTCTGTGGCAGAGGGAGAGGCTGTGAAGGTGCAGGGTTGGAGACAGGGGGAGGAACAGACAAAGGGGGTGTGTCTTCATGCACAGCTCCCGTCTCTTCATTGGTTGTCTCTGCAGCAGGGACGGGCGTGGCCTCTGGTGCAGGGCGGAGTTTCTCATTAAGGCGCTTGAGTTTCTCTGCGCAGGCGGCGAGTCTCGGCTCTTCCATCCTCCTCTCCTCCTCTTCTCTCCTCCGCCTGGCTCTTTCTACTGCTTCCGACAGGTCCTGCTTCTTGCGTTTCTGGCGCCAGGCCTCTGACTCCTCCTCGCCAGGGGGAGCTGTGGTGGGGGGTTTGGCCACACGAGGGGCTCCGCTGCCTACCGAGCGCACACCTGGCTGACCCTGGAGAGATAGAGAGAAAGATGAAATAAGTTCTCAAACATCCAAAGGGAACTTTTATAGTAAAGCTCTTGATGGCGCATTAGTCCAGGACTCCTCCATCAAATCAAACATACCCCATACTGAGTCAACCAACCATCCTCAGCCTCACCTGGTAGTCCTGTGGTGGGCCGGTCTTGTACTGTCCCATACTGCCTGGGGAGGGTGCCCTGGGGTCCCTTCTATCTACCCATGAGCCTTTGCTGCCCTCCTGGCCGTCTGAGGGGCGCGGTGGCCTCATCCGCTCCACTTTACCGATCCACTCCCTGAGAGAGAGTGCGATGGTTAGTCTTTTGTTAGCGCTACATGGTAATGCCTAGGCTTAAGCTCAGCACGCTAACAGTCTCGAGGAGTACAGATACCCCAGGACAAACCCCGTCTGTCACACCCAGGTAGTGAGGCAGAAAAGGAAGCACCTTCCTCAGTGAGACTCACCAGTTTTCTCCTTTCTCCTTGGCGGCTTGGTTCTCCTCATCGTCACTGAAGTTGAGCTTCTCTGTGTAGTCTACCTCCATCTGAGCTCCTGGATAACAGACAGAGAGAGATGAGGAGAGTTACCATTACATGGACTTTCAATGAAATGCTAATAAAACGTGATGTAAAAAATGTATAAATACAGATGAGTATTACCAGCCCAGCCCTCGTCAGCATCAGTGTCCAGGTTGTCGAGCTCTTTGAGCTCTGTGGCGCTGATGATGGAGGGTCTGTCTGGATCCTTGAGCCAGGCCTGGGAGGGCCCCTGCTGGGGACGGACCCTCCTGGGGACACAACACACACAAGAGGGTCAGTTCACTGGGGAATGGATGATGAGAGGTCTAGGAACTCAAGGTTATGATGTGGTAATAATGATGAGTGTGTAGGGATGTAGGAGAGTGTGTGTGTGTGTGTTTATGAGTGTGTGTGTACTCACCTGGCTCCATCCTGTGGAACAGGGTATCTGATGTTCCCTGGCACTGGAGCAAAGGGCATTCTGGGGTATGCATGGAACATCTAGAACAGGAAAACAGCCATTACCAGGAGAATCCTACTCTGCAAGGTCATAGACATTTGTAGCAAACTAGCAACTATTGTCAAGGAAATATCCCATATCAGGTAAGTAATTCCATGTATTTTTATACCCGAAGTAAAATCAATAAATCATTCAGTCAATCACTTACGTAGGGTGGCATCATGCCCCTGAACTGGGGATGGAACTGGGGAAGCACCCCGGCAGAGGCCTGCTGGCCCCCATTGAGTTTAGGCTGGGCGGGCACGTAGGAGGAGGAGGAGGATTGTAGCTGGGGCTGGGAGGAGAGGGGTGCAGGCTGGACAGACAGGGGCAGCCTCTCCCTGACCTCTCCCTTCTCATTAGGGGGCACCCTGCCCCCCTCCTCCGCCTCCTCAGGGGGTGAGGGGGTGCTGAGAGCCGACCCTCCCTCCTCTGGCCCACGGCTGTCCATCTCAGAAGGGCTGGATCCTGTGGTCAGATTCCTGCCCCCACCCTCTCGCCAACTACCAACATCTAGGAGAGGAGAGCAGGGTGGAAAATTAACTTTTTGGTCCACCAGATTTAAACAAATCTACCAGCTATTACGAAAAACAGATGAAGACGCTTTATAATGTTTCTAAAACAAGAAATGTATTACTAGTAAGAAGTAATGTATTGCTCAATTCAATCAAATGTTTGTGACCCAAGTATTTTAACCCATAACAGTCTAAGCCCCGTCTAAGCCGGGGGAGGGTTCTACTAAGCTATATGGAATTGTTTTAAGGCTCATTAACCTATTTCATTTTTCATTTTAAGAATACCTATAAAACTGTTTTGATGAAAGAACAAAAAATTGGTCTTACTGCTATTAGCCCATACAAACGCATTGAATAATAGTGGCGCAGTGGTCTAAGGCACTGCATCGCAGTGCTAGCTGTGCCACTAGCGATCCTGGTTCGAATCGTAGCCGGCTGCGACAGGAAGACCCATGGAGCGGCGCACAATTGGCCCAGCGTCGTCCAGGGTAGGGGAGGGAATGGCCGGCAGGGATGTAGCTCAGTTGGTAGAGCATGGCGTTTGCAACGCCAGGGTTGTCGATTCCCAGTGGGGCCAGTATGAAAAATAAACAAATAATGTATGCACTCACTAACTGTAAGTCGCTCTGGATAAGAGCGTCTGCTAAAATGACTAAAATAACAGATTCACTACATGGAACAGATAGTCCCCCCCCAAAAAATAAAAAGGAAGTTTGTTCTTAAGTGTCTGTCCTATATCTGAGACCGTGTCTACACTTGAAGCTTTGGTATTCTGATCGAGTTCTGATCATGGAATTCCAAACGCGTCATGCATCTACACCTACAGTGCCTTCTAAAAGTATTCAGACCAAGACTTTCTCCACATTTTGTTAGGTTACAGCCTTATTCTAAAATTTATTGAATCGTTTTTTCCCCCTCATCAATTTACACACAATACCCCATAATGACAAAGCAAAAACAGGTAGTTAGACATTTTTGCAAATGAATAAATTAAAAAATGAAATCACATTTACATAAGTATTCAGACCCTTTACTCAGTACTTTGTTGAAGCACCTTTGGCAGCGATTACAACCTCGAGTCTTCTTGGGTATGACGCTACAAGCTTGGCACACCTGTATTTAGGGAGTTTCTCCCATTCTTCCTCTGCAGATCCTCTCAAGCTCTGCCAGGTTGGATGGGGAGCGTTGCTGCACAGCTATTTTCAGGTCTCTCCAGAGATGTTTGATCAGATTCAAATCCGGGCTCTGGCTGGGCCACTCAAGGACATTGAAACTTGTCCCGAAGCCACTCCTGCGTTGTCTTCGCTGTGCTTAGGGTCGTTGTCCTGTTGGAAGGTGAACCTTCGCCCCAGTTTGAGGTCCTGAGCGATCTGGAGCAGGTTTTCATCAAGGATCTCTGTGTGTTGCGCCGTTCATCTTTCCCTCGATCCTGACTAGTCTGACTGGTCTCCCAGTCCCTGCCACCACCATGCTTCACCTTAGGGATGGTGCCAGGTTTCCTGACGTGACGCTTGGCATTCAGGCCAAAGAGTTCAATCTTGGTTTCATCAGACCAGAGAACCTTGTTTCTCATGGTCTGAGAGTCTTCAGGTGCATTTTGGCAAACTCCAAGCAGGCTGTCATGTGAGTTTTACTGAGGAGTGGCTTCCGTCTGGCCACTCTACCATAAAGGTCTGCAGAGATGGTTGTCCTTCTGGAAGGTTCTCCCATCTCCACAGAGGAACTCCAGAGCTCTGTTAGAGTGCTCATCGGGTTCTTGGTCACCTCCCTGACCAAGGCCCTCCCCCGATTGCTCAGTTTGGCTGGGCGGCCAGCTCTAGGAAGAGTCTTGGTGGATCCAAACTTCTTCCATTTAAGAATGATGGAGGCCACTTTGTTCTTGGGGACCTTCATTTTTTGGTACCCTTCCCCAGATCTGTGCCTCGACACAATCCTGTCTTGGAGTTCTACGGACAATTCCTTCGACCTCATGGCTTGGTTTTTGCTCTGACATGCACTGTCAACTGTGGGACCTTATATAGACAGGTGTGTAAGTCGCTCTGGATAAGAGCGTCTGCTAAATGACTAAAATGTAAATGTAAATGTGTGTGCCTTTCCAAATCATGTCCAATCAATTTAATTTACCTCAGGTGGACTCCAATCAAGTTGTAGAAACATCAAGGATGATCAATGGAAACAGGATGCACCTGAGCACAATTTAGAGTCTCATAGCAAAGGGTCTGAATACTTATGTAAATAAGGTATTTCTGTTTAGTATTTTTCATAAATTTGCTACATTTCTAAAAACCTGATTTGACTTTGTCGTTGTGGGGTAGTGTGTAGATTGCTGAGGATTTATATTAATTTAATCAATTTTAGAAGAAGGATGTAACATAACAAAATGTGGAAAAAGTCAAGGGGTCTGAATAATTTCTGAAGGCACTGAGAAATATCAGGAAACATACACACATATCTATCTATCTATATATAAACACATACATATCTATATATACACACACATAAATATATATGTGTATATATACACATACAGTGAGGGAAAAAAGTATTTGGTCCCCTGCTGATTTTGTACGTTTGCCCACTGACAAAGACATGATCAGTCTATCATTTTAATGGTAGGTTTATTTGAACAGTGAGAGACAGAATCACAACAAAAAAATCCAGAAAAATGCATGTAAAAAATGATATACATTTATTTGCATTTTAATGAGGGAAATAAGTATTTGACCCCTCTGCAAAACATGACTTAGTACTTGGTGGCAAAACCCTTGTTGGCAATCACAGAGGTCAGACATTTCTTGTAGTTGGCCACCAGGTTTGCACACATCTCAGGAGGGATTTTGTCCCACTCCTCTTTGCAGATCTTCTCCAAGTCATTAAGGTATCGAGGCTGACGTTTGCCAACTCGAACCTTCAGCTCCCTCCACAGAATTTCTATGGGATTAAGGTCTGGAGACTGGCTAGGCCACTCCAAGACCTTAACGTGCTTCTTCTTGAGCCACTCCTTTGTTGCCTTGGCCGTGTGTTTTGGGTCATTGTCATGCTGGAATACCCATCCACGACCCATTTTCAATGCCCTGGCTGAGGGAAGGAGGTTCTCACCCAAGATTTGACGGTACATGGCCCGTCCATCGTCCCTTTGATGCAGTGAAGTTGTCCTGTCCCCTTAGCAGAAAAAAACCCCCAAAGCATAATGTTTCCACCTCCATGTTTGACGGTGGGGATGGTGTTCTTGGGGTCATAAGCTGTATTCCTCCTCCTCCGGCGAGTTGAGTTGATGCCAAAGAACTCGATTTTGGTCTCATCTGACCACAACACTTTCACCCAGTTCTCCTCTGAATCATTCAGATGTTTATTGGCAAACTTCAGATGGGCCTGTATATGTGCTTTCTTGAGCAGGGGGACCTTACGGGCACTGCAGGATTTCAGTTCTTCACGGCGTAGTGTGTTACCAATTGTTTTCTTGGTGACTATGGTCCCAGCTGCCTTGAGATCATTGACAAGATCCTCCCGTGTAGTTCTGGGCTGATTCCTCACCGTTCTCATGATCATTGCAACTCCACGAGGTGAAATCTTGCATGGAGCCCCAGGCCGAGGGAGATTGACAGTTACTTTGTGTTTCTTCCATTTGCGAATAATCGCACCAACTGTTGTCACCTTCTCACCAAGCTGCTTGGCGATGGTCTTGTAGCCCATTCCAGCCTTGTGTAGGTCTACAATCTTGTCCCTGACATCCTTGGAGAGCTCTTTGGTCTTGGCCATGGTGGAGAGTTTGGAATCTGATTGTTTGATTGCTTCTGTGGACAGGTGTCTTTTATACAGGTAACAAACTGAGATTTGGAGCACTCCCTTTAAGCGTGTGCTCCTAATCTCAGCTCGTTACCTGTATAAAAGACACCTGGGAGCCAGAAATCTTTCTGATTGAGAGGGGGTCAAATACTTATTTCCCTCATTAAAATGCAAATTGATTTATAACATTTTTGACATGCGTTTTTCTGAATGTTTTTGTTGTTATTCTGTCTCTTACTGTTCAAATAAACCTACCATTAAAATTATAGACTGATCATTTCTTTGTCAGTGGGCAAACGTACAAAATCAGCTGTACAGTTGGGAGAACAAGTATTTGATACAATGCCGATTTTGCAGGTATTCCTACTTACAAAGCATGTAGAGGTCTGTAATTTTTATCATAGGTACACTTCAACTGTGAGAGACGGAATCTAAAACAACAATCCAGAAAATCACATTGTATGATTTTTAAGTAATTAATTTGCATTTTATTACATGACATAAGTATTTGATACATCAGCAAAGCAGAACTTAATATTTGGTACAGAAAACTTTGTTTGCAATTACAGAGATCATACGTTTCCTGTAGGTCTTGACCAGGTTTGCACACACTGCAGCAGGGATTTTGGCCCACTCCTCCATACAGACCTTCTCCAGATCCTTCAGGTTTCGGGGCTGTCGCTGGGCAATACGGACTTTCAGCTCCCTCCTAAGATTTTCTATTGGGTTCAGGTCTGGAGACTGGCTAGGCCACTCCAGGACCTTGAGATGCTTCTTACGGAGCCACTCCATAGTTGCCCTGGCTGTGTGTTTCAGGTCGTTGTCATGCTGGAAGACCCAGCCACGACCCATCTTCAATGCTCTTACTGAGGGAAGGAGGTTGTTGGCCAAGATCTCGCGATACATGGCCCCATCCATCCTCCTCTCAATACGGTGCAGTCGTCCTGTCCCCTTTGCAGAAAAGCATCCCCAAAGAATGATGTTTCCAACTCCATGCTTCATGGTTGGGATGGTGTTCTTGGGGTTGTACATTTACGTCATTTAGCAGACGCTCTTATCCAGAGCGACTTACAAATTGGTGCATTAACCTTATAGCCAGTGGGATAACCACTTTACAAGCTCATCCTTCTTCTTCCTCCAAACACGGCGA